GGGAGAGGAGGGGGAGGGGCGGCAGGTGGCTTTGGCCCAGCTGCCAAGTCCTGGCTGCAGGTGGGAGCATCATGCGGTGGGGGCGCCGCACCCTGGCTTCTCGCAGATGGGGCGGGCCGCAGGCCTGAGGGGCCCTGGGGAGGGCGCAGGGAGCCCCCCAGCGCCAGTGCCGGAGTGCTGGCTCGCGAGCTGCCACCGTCTCCCTCGGGGTCCGGGGCCCTCCCGGCGTGGCCGCAGTCCACCTGGGGATTTCCCTTCCACTCCCCACCGGGGCGCGCAGTGACCCCTGAGTCGCGTCCAGGGCAGTGTGGGGGCGGCCGCGGGGCGGGAGGACAGGTGCGGGCTGGGCGGGCGTGAGCTGGCCGCGGAGGCCCAGTCCCGGTTGCCCAGAGCCCTGCGCTGTGTCCACGCTTCCTCAAGCTGCCCGGAGGCCGCTCTGCGCCCTGCTGGGGCTTCTCAGGTTGTTTCCTGTGAACTCGCCCGCGACGCCTTTTGGGGAGAGCAGCCTCGCGCCCTCCCAGGCCGCCGGCCCCTCACCCCAGGGCGGAAGGCGCCTCCCTCGCAGCAGGCCCCGGCAGCCGGTTGGGGGCCGGGACTTGATGGCCAGGGGTCAGGCTGGGCTGGCAGGCGCGGGGGCACCCGGCTCAGGCGGTCCTGTGGCCCTGGGGCGACGGGTCGCCCCTCCCCTGCAGCTGAGAGGCCCCGCCCCCCGCCCCCCGCCCTGGCCTCCCTGCAGGCAGTCGGCGGCCCACAACTGGAGCTCTCGCCTGGGCCTCCCTGGCCCTGAGGTGTGCGGAGCCTGGGCGGCCATGGCGTCCAGGGCCCAGGGGCGACACAGTGGAGGTTGCCCTTGCGGATGTGGGGGCGCGCAGGAGGGGCATTGGCCTGGGCGCCCCCAGAGGGTCCCTCAAGGCATCTCTAGCCAAGCGCAGCTGCGTCAGACCCCTCCCCCAAGCCCTTGCCTGGGCGGCCTGTGGACACCGGCCCTGCGCCGCGCTGGGGGGAGCCCCAGGCCACTGCCGGCCAGGGAAAGCGGCGCTGTCCCTGCACCTGCCGGAAACGCCCCCCTGGCGCCCCTAGCGCGCGCCGCGTGGGCAGGGTGTTGTCGGAGCCGGCCTGCCTCCACCCCACTAGGCCGCGAGACTGTCCGCTCGCCCGGGCGGGTCCCCAGACGCTGCCGCACTGCCCAGCGCACAGGGCCGGGGAGGGCGCCCCTTCTCCAGGGAGGGGTCCCCGAGGCACGGAAGCTGGGAGCTGCAGGCGGTCAGAACCTTTATTGGCCCTCGGGAGGAGGGCGCACTGGGCTGCGGCCACAGCACAGCGCCCCTCGGCAAGGCCGGGGTGCCCACCCGAGCGTGCAAGCGGGGAGGCAGTGGCC